TGCTCACATGTAGATCTGCGCACCACTTGCCTGCCTGATGCCATTAGGGGTAAGAAGACAGCATTAGATCCACTACAACTGGAGAAATGAACGGCTGTAAGCTTTCATGGCCTCTGAGTACTGAGAACCAAACCCAGGTTCTCTGCAGGAACAGTAAGTGCTCTTAACCACTGAGCCGTCTCTCCAGGCCCAGGAATAGACTCTTAAAAAGAAAAAATATTATATAAGTGAACTTGATAAATAAATGTTGCAGATTTTTATTTTCAGAGTGCTTAAAAATGGCATAACCCACAGTGACATAGATGCTATATTTCTACATTAGGAGTCAGAAGATATAGGCTTGGTTTCCTTCTGTGTCTCCATAAACTCCTCCTTCCTTAGCCCCTTACCAATGAATGCAGATGATGACATCTTATTATCCTGTAAGGTCTAAGGCAAATACATAAAACAATATGCAAAGAGCACAAAGAACACTTTTAGCATCTAAAGCACTAAAATTAATTGCATTAATTGCTTTTACCATGATGACTCTTTTGTGTGTAGATGGAAAGTTATCATGTTAGACCTAGGAGTCCTAAGTCTGCCATACACTTTGGCTGTGTCAGAGAACGTGTATATTCCATGTCTATGAGAGAAGAGGGGTGGAGAGAACATGAAACTGGAGAATTGGGGTTTAGGGAGGAGATGGAGGATCTGGGAAAGGAGAATAATTATGATTAAGTATATTCTATGCAGTTCTCAAAAGTAGGAGAAAGTGTTATTTGGAAAAAGTAAGATTGGCACAGAGACTGGCTAGGTGTGGCCACAAATACCTAGAGATTTTCCTCTACACTGAGATGTTATTTTCCTAAAATTTCCTCATCAGGTGACTTTTGAATCAAGTGTCTGGTGAAAATACACATTTAGGAGCTAGAGAGATGATGGCTCAGTGGTTTCATGTATGTTTGCTGCTCTTCCAGAGAATCTGGGTTCAGCTTTCAGTGGCCGCTCGGTGGCTTATAATTGTCTGTAACTCCAGATCCTGGGGAATTCATGCCTTTGGCCTTTTGGACTTGGTAGGTGCTCATCCACATGTGTATACGCAAAAAGTGTCTTCAATGCTGCTTGCTTACCGTGAAGCAACTTCCTTCTGCTTTCTCTAAATCAACACACATCATGGGTAAGAGCTGTCTCATGTCCACCACCATTTGTATAGAGTGAATCAGTTAGTTATAGATGCAGAGTTGGGTGAATGAGAGATGGAGAGGAAAGAGAATCTATAAAGGGTGATAATGTGAGCCACTCGGAGAGAACTATGGGCAGGCAGAAGGTGAGGACATTAGCATGTCAGCCTAGGAGGGAGAAGAATGAGATATAGAAGCAACATTTAGAAATTTCTCTACAACTAGGAAAAGCTGTCCCCTCTAAGGGTGAGTCAGACTAAAACCAACAGTTTTGAACCAAACTGTTTGAACCAAAATGTTTGGTTCAAACATTTGAACCAAAATGTTCAAATTTACTGAACATTTGCTGTGTGACAGATGCTTCCTGGGAACTTAGTGATGCATGGTGGAAGCTGCAGTAGAGAGTGTGCACCTAGACCCTGCAAAGAAGAGGTAGTTTACCCTTGTGGTTGGTATCTGAAAGAAATCTGTGGCTACATAAGGCACAGAAAGGCAAAAGTCTTGTCCACTGCAAAAATTTCACTAAGCTTATTTAATGGCAAAGATTTTGAGCTGATGATTTAGCCTTCTATAGGTGCCAGGACCTCCTACCACTTAGAAAATGGAGGTTGCATGTAAAGTGACTATGTGTAATGATATAGACCTACCGCAGAGGCAGGCTATCTGAGAGGAATAAAGAGGAGCGGCTACAGAATCTGCTGTGAGCTCCACGGGTGAAACTGTTATGTCTCCCTTCCTTACTGTGCCAGCCTTTATGTGTCCTGCATGAACATCTGTTGGTAACTGAGTAAACGAATCAATGTGTGGCAATAGGAAAGTTACCAGTGCTAAGATTGCCCTTTTTAGTGGTATCCAGGGTACCTTCATTATGATAATCTCTCCCACCGGTAGTTTTCTTAGGCATCCTGATTGCCTGACCGAATCCTGAAGCCTCTGGCTTGGAAGGGAAGAGAACTCAGGTTAATGAAAGAAGGAAGGTTCAGGTAAAGTTATGAAAGGTCTCCTAGATATTTCTCTGTCAATGAGAGCATGCTTCTTTAATTCAGCCCCGAAAATCTCATCTATTTACTCGATGCAACTAGAGGTACCATGACTTCTTTGAACTGGTGTGGTGACTGATTTCACATAAATGCACTCTATGAAAGTTGGAGGGAAAAGGCGATTCCAGAGGAATTTGAAATTAGAATTTTTTTTCCTGATGTGTAGCCAGCAGCATTTATTTCTAGAGTTTGGAAAATATTAAGGAGTTTTATTTTGAATTTTCCATCTATACCTTCAGTTACCATTGGCTGAATAGTTTTACAGGGCCAGGCACATTGTTGTTCCTCTTGGATAGAGCACATTGGGTGTTTAATTGAACTCAACATGTCCATGTAATCTGTTCCAAAATACTTTTTGAGACTCTGCAGGCTCTGTCCGTATTTAGTGATTCACTCATCACTGGCCAAAGCTTATATTTTCACCAAAGTTTTCTTGAAAATTATCAGTATTTTTTCCCATTCTAAATTACACTTTGGGGACAGTGGAAAGGGAGCAGTGTCAGACTAATTGCTTCAATAATAACAGGACCCAGGCGGCTAGCTTTGATCTTGGAAACCATCTACAGTCCAGACCACTTTGATGTTTCATACAATGGAAGCATAAATATTTTCTATTTACTACATGATTGGACTTTCAGAAACCTAATTAAGTTGAAGGTCAATTAAGAGAAAATGAAATCTTGACTCCAAAAGTCAGAGAAGAGGTGGCAGATGATAGCACAGCTATGTGTGCATAAAAGAAGTTAACTAACCTAATTATGAACTTACATAAACACCTAGAGAAATTGCCTTTCATGTGAAAAAAGGACCTAAAGCATTTTATAACATTGAGATCATTAATGCGTCTTTGAAACACACCCAGTACTGCAAAAGAATCGTAACACTGGCATTTCAAAACTCTATTACTAAAAAAATTGGAGACAGCCAGGGATAAAAGCACTTCACAGCTCATCAAATGCAACCCCTTGCTCTTCAGAATGAGACCATAAATGCGTAGTTCAGTGCTGTGTCTATTGGTTTTCCCTAGGTATACTTCGAAGTCTTCACTGCCCATTTTGGAAAGCTGAAAGGCTGGCTAGAAGGGGCACAGGGGACCAGGGCATTCCAGCATAGGCTGAGCTACCTTAAGCAAGATTTCTGAACTCTCTAAAGCCCAGTTCCGAATGTCTACAGCAAGGCTATAGATGCTTATCTCATTGGATTACCTTGAGATGAAATAACATGCTTAAATTCCTAATAGGAAGCAGTGTGGAGCATTACAGGTAATTGAAATGCCTCCCCCTCCTCTTCTTCCATGACAGGTTTGGGCCATAGAATCAAACAGACCTGAGGCTGAGCCACTTTTCTTCCATTTGCTTTTTGTGTTGCTTTGGGTAGGTGATTTCCTGGACTCAGGCTTTGGCTTCTATTTTCTTTTTGGTTCAAGACAGGGTTTCTCTGTATCCTTGGGTTTCCTGGAACTTTTCTCTGTAGACCAGACTGGCATCAAACTCACAGAGATCCGCCTGCCTCTGTCTCCTGAATGCTGGGTTTAAAGGTGTGCACCACCACAGTATGGCCTCAGGCTTGTTTCTTAAGTTTTAAATTGAAGTTGATTAGGTTTACTTTTTTAGGGGTATTAGAAGACTAGAGAACATTTATCCTGTCTCTGGCACATAGGCAGCAACATGAAAGTCATAACATGAAAAAAAAAACATAATTCATCGTGGCCTAAAATATACTTTCAGAAGTGGTATAAATTATTTGTGCATGTGTATGTGTGTGCATGTGTGCTTATGTGTGTGGGGGGAGTGTGATCTGTGTGCATAGATGGATATAGGTGTGTATAAAGGGTACAAATGTGGTGATACACATATACACACATACACACAGAAATGATAGATATAGATAGATGGATAGAGGAGATAGATAGATAGATAGGTAGATAGAAAGAAAGAAAGAAAGAAAGAAAGAAAGAAAGATAGATAGAGATAGAGAGAAAGGAATACAGTCAGGATAGCTCTCTTTCCTGTCATTAGTCACAGTTATGTGGTACAGGCACTTGAATTTAAATGCTCTTTAAGGACACTGCTAATTGAGTAAGATAAACAAATTTTCTATTCCTTTGCTGGGTGACACACATCTTATAGATCCCCTCTTACTCCTTCTTTCCGCTTTGAACTACTTCTAAGAAACCTTTCATCTGACAAGTTCAAAGTATGCCCACTTACCTATGCATCTTACTAAAATCTTCATTTCTAATGCCCAGGCTTTCGGAGAAATAGATAACCAAAATTAACTTATCAGGCATCCCTGTTAGCCATCAGGGACACACAGTATCTGACCAAATGAGCTTGAATATGTTCCCAGTGCCAATTAGTTAAATAGCAGAGGATAAAATATAATCTTGGGCTATTCTCTTCTGACAAACAATGCATTAAGATAAAAGTTCCAGCTAAAGTAGATAGGGATTGCTGCTTTTCCCAAAGTAATATGACCTTGGTATCCACAGACTCTGCAACAGCGACTGCCAGGAATTTGAGTGGTGTCTCATCATGTTTTCTTAATTTCACAGTCTGAATAAAAGACCAAGGCTCTTCTGAAATGTATCAGTGGTTATATTTAGAATCAGAGGAGTTGATTTATCAAATTCAAAGGCCAAGTCTTGCCCTTGGAAGTGTCCAGTGTATAAATGTGCATCCTTGGCCAGAGCAACACCTGCTTGAAATTCTGGGAGCTTTTGATAATGGAATCTATAGAGTTCCCAGGAAGTGAAGATGCACCGTGGGCCTGGGACACCTGCTGCTGTTGTACTTACAGTTCACAGTGACCTTGACTTGTTTGACGTCTGCAGAGGAGACCTCATTGGCAGCCTTGCACTCGTATTTGCCTGACTGCTCCCTAGTGATGCCGAGGATCTCCAGATATTCTTCTTCTCCTTCAAATTCTCTTCCTGGAAAAACAGAAAATTGCATGATTTTTTTTCTAAGTCTAAAATATGCTGCAGATTGCTTCCCCCCATTTTTTAAAGAAAAGAAACAATAAATCAGAAAGGCTTTTCAATAACTTGACAACATGCTTTGTCTGAGGTCCAAGACACAGACCCCAGGAAAAAGTTTCTTCTGAACTTGATTAAATATAAAGTGTTCTAAAGAAAATCAGGTAGAGAAGGGGGAAATGGGAGCTGGAAGAGAATGAAGCCATACAAGGTCATGATGCTAGGTTAAATCCCCAGAAACAATGCTGACTCTGTCTTTTGTGGACTCTGGGGACCACACACGTCCCTTTTCAATACTGTCCTGATAACAAGAAGACAGGAGATCAGAGTGCTGACACATTCATATTTGTCAGTCATTGATGAAGTGTTTGTAACAGGTAGGAGCAGGAGAGCATGAATCACCAGAGATACTCATGAGGCACTGCTACCATCCTTATACTATGAGTTTTGCCCTTACACCACGGTAGCTATTAGAAAGGGAATGACTTGCTTGTGACAAACACCAGTCTTCAGATTATATGAATCTTGTTTTCCACAAAAATGATGTGCTGGGACTGGAAAGACTGTTCAGTATGAAAGAGAACTCGCTGGTCTTTCATAGGCCTCAAGTTCAACTACCAGCACATAATGAAGCTCACAGCACCTATGCCTCCAGTTTCCAGGAACTTGATGCTTTCCTCTGGCTTTTATAGGCACTCTCACATGTGTGTTGTGTGTGCATGCATGCACGTACACACACACACACACACACAGACTTAAAAATAGATATAATATAAACCTTTAAAACTAAACCGGTTCTGTGCTAATCCTTACCTTGATGCCATGTTGTCTTTTTGATATTACCATCCAGGCTTTCAAGCCTGCGAACGTGCAGCTGATGGTGTGTTTGGTGATAGACTTTGCTACCAAGTCTGAGTGTAGAAAACTACACACCCATGGGATTAATTATTGGAACTGGAGACAGAGAGACCCCATTTTGCAAAAATTTACAAAATTGGATGTTTTGTTTCCATAAAGAAAAATTAGATAAGAAATCTTTTAAATTCTCTTATGGAACCTGATTGATAAAATAAACATTTTTTTTCTTGAATAGATTGAAAGAAGAAAAAAGTTGGGGGACATTAAAGGGGGATAAGACAGTGGGCAATGAGGTTGGGCAGCAGAGAGAACTTAGCTAGTTTAGATAGAAGATTTGTGACCTTTAAATTCTATATCACTCACTCGCCCAAAAAGCACAATTCCATTGCACACTGGGTTAGCACAGAGCAGCTGGGAAGGGTGGTAAAACAGTCCTGCCCCCATAGTGGAATCTTGCTCCTCATCATGCCACACTAAATGGTACCAATTAATGACTCTGCTCAAATGCCACAAGCTGTTTCTTTCCTAAAAAACCCCTAATGACCAAATCATTCAGCGAGCATGGACATGAACTTATTGTTACAGTTTGTCAACCAAGCTTCAAGTCTGCTAACTAGACTCCCAGTAGAAAACAGGATCTCTTTGGTAACATTCTATCACACAACTATCAGGAATACTAGAAACTTCAAATCCCTTCCAACCACCAAGCTTTGAGAAAAGTAACTGAAACAGGGAATAGACAATAATATAAAATTGTTTGGTTTGGACTAGTGTATCCTGGGTAGCACATGTTCGTGGTGAAAGTACTGCACCATGGCTCTAAGATGTATCTTGGGAATTTTTTTTTGTACAAATGGTTAATTTCTGCCTGTGTTTTCCCTTCCCAGTCTTCAAGCATGTAGTCAGGCAGGAATTTATATTCCAGATGTAGAATTTAGAACATGTAGACCTTATGAGAGGTCGCTTGATCGGGTCCAAGAGTTAAGATAGAGTATAACAAGGAGTAGCTGTGGAATAATCCTTCTGTAAATGATGAAAATGCATTTCTCTCATTGTTAATAAAAAGCTGATTGGTCGATAGCTAGGCAGGATTTTCAGTGTAGAGAGAATGTTGGGGGGAACAAGAGCAGAGTCTTGGGAATTGTGAGCAGATGCAGAGAGAAGCAAGATGAACGTGCCGTGTTGAAGGAAGGTACCACCACATGGCAGGGAGTAGATAAGAAAAATGGGTTAATTCAAAATGTAAGAGTTAGATAGCAATGAGTCTGAGCTATGGGCCAGAATTTATAATTAATAATAAGTATTTGAGTGGCTATTTGGGAGCAGCTGCCAGAACACAGAGAAACTCTGCCTCCCATAAATGTTAAAGATGACTATAAGAGTTCTCAGATTTCTCCCCTAGCTCTCTTCCACACCCCAAAACCTTATTCTTAAGTGAGTTTGGAATCTTCAGTAAGAGAATGAGAATTGGTATAGGCTTGAGAATGGTTGAAACATTTTGTTCTTTTCAATCTCCATAACATGTCAAGAAAAGGAGGAAGAGCCATGGATTTCTTCCTTACATTTTATTTTATTTTTTTAAAGAAATAAGCCTGTTGTGGGAGAGAGATACTGTGGGCAGTGTTCACTCAGGGTTTACTAGTTTGAGAACAGGGAATTTCTCAGGGTAAATATTAAAAGAATGAAAGAAAATAAAGCTGTATTTACTGGATTTAGGGTCTGGAATTTTTATACACCAAATGCACATGTTAGTTAATCTAACTTATTATTATCTATTTTTATTTATTAATCTAATTTATTTTCCTGAAAAGTGGTCCATAAGTCAGATCTGCACCAGAAAAACTATCAGTTTTGTACCTGTAGAAGAACTTCCCCAATTTGACATGAGAAGGAAAGGGGGAATTTTCTTTCCATGATAATACACACAAGGGAGGTATATTTTCTTTACTTTTTAAAATATTTATTTATATGTATGCAATATTCCGTCTACAAGTATGCCTGCAGGCCAGAAGAGGGTACCAGACCTCATCACAGATGGTTGTGAGCCACCATATAGTTGCTGGGAATTAAACTCAGGGCCTTTGGAAGAGCAGGCAATGCTCCTAACCGCTGAGCCATCTCTCCAGCCCAAGGTATATTTTCTTTATCCTCCCATGACAGCGTCTCCCCATTCTAGTGCTACCTCTATTTACAGAGCATAACACCTGGCTAGATTCTCATTAGAGTGGAGAATTTCTGGTAGAAAAAAGTACACGAGTTTCCCTCATTCAACCAGATTTTTCCTCATCCAACCAGGCTGATACCCATTTACAATATTGGATAAGACCTCTGTATATACCTTGTCTTTTTCCCTTTTCTTTCTCCTGCATCCTCTAGTTGAAACTCAGGCATTTCTGGCATTCTTGCTATTATATTCTGCCTAAGCCCATAAGAGGATCACCTGTCATTATATCTATGACTTCACTCAAGAATTTCTCATTAGTTCAGAGTAATAGGACAGGAAGCACAGGTCTTGCTAGAAATTCAAAGTTCCAGATTGTTAACCTCCTGGGATCTTTTTTACGCATAGCATTTCCATGAACTTGAATGATGTTTGTTATAGATTAGAAAGTCAGTAAATGCTTACTGAGATAGCTTGATACTGGTTTAATAGTTGGCTCTTCCACAATTTGAATGTTGAAACCTAATCTACAATGTGATGTGATTTGGAAGTATAATCTTGGGGAGATGATAAGAGTATGAGAATGTGTCCCTCATAAGGATACAACAGGCTTCCTATGAACAAGTAAATGAGCCCTCACCAGACAGTGTATATGCAGGCATGCTAATCTTAGACTCTCAACTCCAGAACTTTGAGAAACAAGCTGCTGTTGTTTGTAAGCCACCTACGGTTTTTCATTACAGCTGTCCTGATGGGCTGGGTCACAGCTGAACAGAATTAAGCAAGAGAAGCTGGTACTAGAGATAGTTATAATACCTCATACAGCTCATGAGAATGGATGGAGCCAAGTATGGAAGCCATCATAAAAGCCATTCCTTTTTAAAGATCCTAATAGAATATCATTTTGCGAGTGGGCAGAGTATGCTGCTGTTAAAGGCTGGTCAGGGGCATTGCCTGTTGTGTCCTGAGGATGTAAATGCTACGTGGAGTCCCTGCTTCAGCAACCAGCTGAACCCCTGCAGACACAGGCCTGACAAGATGCTTTTCCTTGTGTCTCAGCAACAGCAATTCTTGTTTTAAAGCATGCAATAAACCACATGAATTGTGAACCAGGAAATGCTAAAGTGCAATTCTTAGTCTCCTGTGCTTTTCCTTTTACTCGTTGTGTGTCTGCCCATGGAGGCGTGGACTTCATCAGTCACACTCTGTAGCTACTATCCACTGAAAGATTCCCTCACCATTTTTTTTTGTCCTTTCAAAAATTTCAAAACTTCTGAGATCAAGAAAGTGAAGTCATTTAAACTCTGGAGAACTTGCCCAATAACTGCAAATTAAATCTTTCCTTTAGTCCAGTCTGTTACTGTCTGCCCTGAATAAATTTTGCTTAAAATGCCAATCTCAACATTTTCGTATTTTAAACATCTCAACCACTTTTCTCACTCTATTGAGTATTATGTTTATTCTGGTGTCTGCTGTTTAGTTTATTACCCTTTGCTTAATTTTGGACTTGTGGCAATAATTCTGCTATAGGCCAAATAACTCCTTGTCTTCTTCACTGTCTCTACCTTTCACACTCTTGCTCCCGATTAAGATGGTCCCCTTTAGCCTCTGTTTATTCAAGTTGTGCTTTATTAGTTCTTTTAATAGGTCCTCAAGAGCCAGGAAGAGGAGCCCAGAGCTAATGGCAAGAGGAAAGCATTCTCTTTGGTGTTCTCCAGTGTGGAGACAAAGCAGCTAGAAATAACACCTATTAGAGGATGCTAGGTGCTATGCTAGGACAATATCTGCTTTGGTGAAATTGAGTTTACAAGGTCAACTAGTCCTTGTAAGCAGGCAGTCATTTGCAACTAAATACACTTCTATGGAGCTCTTTTCCTTTCTTTCTTCTCCCCCTTCTTTTCTTCTTTACTTTCTTACCTTCCTCTCCCACCCCCTT